ACTGCATACATGCAGCATACATCCACTCACACACACCCTCTGTGGGAACTGTATACATACAGCATACATCCACTCACACACACACCCCCTCTGTGGGAACTGTACACATGCAGCATACATCCACTCACACACACACCCCCTCTGTGGGTACTGTATACATGCAGTATACATCCACTCACACACACACACCCTCTGTGGGAACTCTATACATGCAGTATACATACACACACACACCCTCTGTGGGAACTGTATACATGCAGTATACATACACACACACACCCTCTGTGGGAACTGTATACATGCAGTATACATACACACACACACCCTCTGTGGGAACTGTATACATGCAGTATACATACACACACACACCCTCTGTGGGAACTCTATACATGCAGTATACATACACACACACACCCTCTGTGGGAACTCTATACATGCAGTATACATACACACACACACCCTCTGTGGGAACTCTATACATGCAGTATACATACACACACACACCCTCTGTGGGAACTCTATACATGCAGTATACATACACACACACACCCTCTGTGGGAACTCTATACATGCAGTATACATACACACACACACCCTCTGTGGGAACTCTATACATGCAGTATACATACACACACACACCCTCTGTGGGAACTCTATACATGCAGTATACATACACACACACACCCTCTGTGGGAACTCTATACATGCAGTATACATACACACACACACCCTCTGTGGGAACTCTATACATGCAGTATACATACACACACACACCCTCTGTGGGAACTCTATACATGCAGTATACATACACACACACACCCTCTGTGGGAACTCTATACATGCAGTATACATACACACACACACCCTCTGTGGGAACTCTATACATGCAGTATACATACACACACACACCCTCTGTGGGAACTCTATACATGCAGTATACATACACACACACACCCTCTGTGGGAACTCTATACATGCAGTATACATACACACACACACCCTCTGTGGGAACTCTATACATGCAGTATACATACACACACACACCCTCTGTGGGAACTCTATACATGCAGTATACATACACACACACACCCTCTGTGGGAACTCTATACATGCAGTATACATACACACACACACCCTCTGTGGGAACTCTATACATGCAGTATACATACACACACACACCCTCTGTGGGAACTCTATACATGCAGTATACATACACACACACACCCTCTGTGGGAACTCTATACATGCAGTATACATACACACACACACCCTCTGTGGGAACTCTATACATGCAGTATACATACACACACACACCCTCTGTGGGAACTCTATACATGCAGTATACATACACACACACACCCTCTGTGGGAACTCTATACATGCAGTATACATACACACACACACCCTCTGTGGGAACTCTATACATGCAGTATACATACACACACACACCCTCTGTGGGAACTCTATACATGCAGTATACATACACACACACACCCTCTGTGGGAACTCTATACATGCAGTATACATACACACACACACCCTCTGTGGGAACTCTATACATGCAGTATACATACACACACACACCCTCTGTGGGAACTCTATACATGCAGTATACATACACACACACACCCTCTGTGGGAACTCTATACATGCAGTATACATACACACACACACCCTCTGTGGGAACTCTATACATGCAGTATACATACACACACACACCCTCTGTGGGAACTCTATACATGCAGTATACATACACACACACACCCTCTGTGGGAACTCTATACATGCAGTATACATACACACACACACCCTCTGTGGGAACTCTATACATGCAGTATACATACACACACACACCCTCTGTGGGAACTCTATACATGCAGTATACATACACACACACACCCTCTGTGGGAACTCTATACATGCAGTATACATACACACACACACCCTCTGTGGGAACTCTATACATGCAGTATACATACACACACACACCCTCTGTGGGAACTCTATACATGCAGTATACATACACACACACACCCTCTGTGGGAACTCTATACATGCAGTATACATACACACACACACCCTCTGTGGGAACTCTATACATGCAGTATACATACACACACACACCCTCTGTGGGAACTGTATACATGCAGTATACATACACACACACACACACACACACACACACACACACTAAAGACGAATTGCTATCTAGTAAAAGGTGGTTGACTACTAGACTCATAGGGTACCAAATAGCAACTTCAAAAAGCAAATATTATCTCCCAGAGCTAAGAGAGCGTGCATAAGAAATGGACTTAGAAACATAGCTAAGTGCCTGTGCTGAGCTGATTTAGATGTCAGGTGCAGCTGCCATAGGAATAGAGTCCACTTAGCTGAGAAACTTCAGATGGCAGCTCCCGCTGACACAGAGGGCCATGCTGTGGTCTCAGAGCCTCAGAATCTGAGCCACCAGTAAACTGCCCAGGATCCAGCTAAGGAAAACTGCCCGTTCGAAGAAAAGCCCCTTCTTCCTGCACTGTCCTTGCAGTGGCCCTCCATTGCCCTCTGTTGTCAAAGCCCAGCATGGAGCCCCCTTCTGAGATGCTGATTTTGAAGCTGGAAGTAACTGACCCACAAAGTTTATGTTTAAATTTTGTTTTGAGATAAGGTCTCCCTAGTTTAGCCCTGGCTGTCCAAACACTTGCCAGTTAGACCAGGCTGGCCTCAAACTCATAGAGAACTGCTTGCCTCTGCCTCTTGAGGGCTGGGACTAAAGGTGTGTACCTTTTCCTTCTTGCTGACATATA